ACACACACACACAGCATCGTCAGCCCCTCCTGCCTGATGTCAGTCTGACTTCTCTGGCCACCTCCTTGATTTCCATGGACAGCTGCTTCGGTCTCGCTGCCCACAGCCTGCACACAGTCAGACTGGCCTGACTGGGAGGCTGGGCACAGTCCCTCACCTGCTCAGCCTGCTGAATTCCTTGGCCTGGTTCCTCCTAATGGGGGTTGACTGTGGTCTACCAACCACCCATCTTTTTGCTCCCTGCCTACTGTGGCTGGACCCGGCCCAGATGGTCTTGGCCTATGCTGGCCCCACTTGGGCATCCTCAGCAGAAGAGCACACTTGCACGAGGATGTGCAAGGGATCTGTAGCCACCTGGACCAGCTTCTGGGCAGTAAGGACACCACCAACACTTCACCCCTCTCCCAATCCTTGCCCTCTGGTCTTTCGGAACCCGTCAGGTTCTTGCCCCAGGGCCTGTCTTCAGGGAGACATGGCGGTGTCTCCACCCTCTGCAGGAACCACCACTCTGCTGAGGCCGAAGGAAGGTCAGGGGAGGTTCATGTAGGGAACGGGAGGGGAGTCCCCAGGGAACAGGACACAGCTCAGGGGCATCCGTTTCTAAGTCTCTGAGTACCTGCACCTTGCTTTTTACCTCTTAGTTTATTCCCTGTTTGTGTTGTTCGCAATGCCATCGGGGGAGGAGTTCTCACCGAGGACTTAATGTACTAGCTTTCCAATGATTGATTGAGTGCTTGCTTTTGTCCGGGTACTAGAGACAAAGGTGAGTCCGTGTGGACATGGTCCCTGCCTTCAGGGACCAGAGTCTAGAGGGGGGTGGGGGGGGGGAGTATGAGTATATGTGTTTTCAAATCTCAAACTGGGATATACTCACCTAAAGATTGGCACTTCAAACACCCCCCACCCCACCCCCGCCTCCAATCAATAATCCAAGACAACAGTGAAGCATCTCTATGTCCTACGGCGAGAGAGCATGTTTGGAGCAAGGGCTGGGGCCCTGACATAACGTCAGCGAGGGGCCAGGGGCCAGGAAGGATGGGAGCTAGGGAGGGTGTGATCCCGCAGGCACACACTGGCACTCATGGGCTCTCGGGGGTTGGGAGTAAGTTGAGAGTGGCAGGAATAAAGAGGAGCCCAGGGTGGGTGGTGGGGTGACACAGCAGCTGGGGCGTGCATGTCACTGAAGGTTACGGCCAGTCCTGGCAAGAGATTTCCGATCAGCGGTCTCGGCCCGATGGTCAGCATCGCCCAGGAAGTCGTGCGCATCTTACGCCAGGGAGGGACCTGAGAATGTGTGTGTGTGGTGGGCCTCTATGGTGCCTGGGCAGGGCCCGGACTGCGGGAGAAGGCTGTTATTTCAGCTGAGATCTCAAGGGTCGGTCCTTAGTGGTTTGTAGGCAGGGAGTGGGGGAGGAGGTGCAGTGGGCGTGCACTCCAGAAAGCGGGAACCACGAGTGCTGTTTGCAACCCAAGGAGCCTGTTCTGCAGGGATGGCCGCTCAGTTCGCCACAGGTTCCTAGATGAAGAACGTGGCATTCCTGCTTCTCAAACCGCAAGCTCACCGGGCTCTCCAGATCAGATCTGGAGAGGACCCAACTGGCCTCTCGCACGACCTACGCCCAGCGAAGGAGCTCAGTGAGACGCTGGTCAACGATCGATCACAATAGCTTTTGACTGCCAGCGAGCTCATGGAGTGTGAGGGGAGGCAGGACCTGGATCCAGGTGGCTTTGACTCCTGGTCCCCGCTCTAGCCGTACTCATGCAGAACAAAGGCATGAAAGGCATCAAAGACCCGAGCTGTAAGAAGGGGGTGACCGGGGGATCCCCAGGGTAGGAACAGTTAGTAGGAGAAGACTATAGGGCTCTAAGGCCTTCCCAGGTGGGCCCTATATTGAGTCGTGCTGGCCAGGCTAGAAGGATTCCCGTCTTTCCGACTGGACTGTGGGGCATTTGAGAGACACACAGCTCAGCTCATGCAGATGGGGCAGACAGTGTGTCGGGCAGAGGGAGCCTGGGGAGCACCTGGCTCGGCCCTTGATGGTGCTCCGAGGCCTCTGGCAAGCCTTTCCTCCATTGGGTCTGGGTCTTCTGGTCTTTAGACTAGGGTGGGGGGTTGTGTCCAACAACTATATGTTTTTTCCTGCTCGCCCATGCACTCCTGTGTTGGTGTTTGTTACCTTTGAGTTGGTGCCACCCCACAGTGACTTGGTGCCTAACCGAACATTTCTAAACGTTCCGTCTCCAGCAAGCCCGCTTGTGCCTCGTTAAGAGTTAACACTGCATCTCTCAAAATGTTTCCTTCCATAAGAGCAGGAATAATCTTGGGGCTGGGCTTCATTCAACACCCTCTGTCCCCACGTTCCCCACACCAGAGTTAAGTGACAGATGGCTTCGCCCAAAATAAAACATCCTCCCTCACCCCCTGCCATGAAGATGACGGGGCTGACCCCCGCCCCAGAGACATCCGCACAACCTCAAGCTCAGTGCTGGCAACACTTTGTTTGGAGTGGGCGCCACCAAGGAGGGAAAATAGCAGAGGCTCGTTCCTGGCACAAGAGCGAGCGAGGCGAGCAAAATCCGGCCTTTCCTCTCTGCCCAGGAAGCCAGCAAGGAGTCCCAAGACAAAGTCTGCCAGGCACACACATACACACACCTCCCCGGCCTCTGCCCCCTCTCACCCGCACTCGCACCAGTGCAATCGTTGCCCACAGCTCACAAGCTGGGTACTGTGGAAGGAGACACCACCCAGAGGGCCTCTGATGATGGGGAGAGGCGACTAGGGCTTGTTTATTTCAGGCACCACGGCTCATGGACAGTGATGGTCGATAAGAGGGCTAAGATAGACTGTATGCGGACAGAAAGCTCCTGCCCTTCCTGAATGGAAGCTTGAAAACGGTAGTGCACAGCCCCTGCTCAAAGTCAGCCCCCCACCCAGCCACCCCCAACAGCAAAGGCCTTAGAAACCGCTCTCTACGTCCCAGCCCCGGCAAGGGCTGCGCTGCAGGGTGGACACGTCTGTTTCACACGCGGCCTCTGTAAGAGAGAGAACCCGAGGCTTGCCAAGAGGGAGAAATGAAAGGAAGGGGGCCTTGGATGATGGCACTGAGAGGCTCTGAGCCACCAGGCTCAATCCCTTAAAAGAAAGCCCCGGAGGAACTTGCAGATCTCATTTCCCAGAGTGTGGTAGACTGAGTCATTTGAAACCCCGGGGGAGGTATCAGTTGCACTTGGTGCATTGTGCTGGCTGGACTCTGTGGCGACCTTCTTGTCTCTTTGTCTCTGTCCAATAAATGTGCCAACGTGTCTATTTAAAATACTGCCAAAAGAATGTGTGCCCGGGCACAGGTCCCTACCTGAGGGCCTTTCTCAAGCGAGTGAACCACTTTCAAGCAAGATGTCCTGGTGCCCAATGGGTAGGGATGACCCAGCATGCTGGCTCTCCAGTGCCACCAGGAGAGGTGTGACTGCCCCCAAGTTGGTGAGCCTCAGCAGGGCCATTTGCTGACAGCAGAGGGCTCCCCCCGCCCCCCCATACCCCCCTACACTCCCACTCATCTTCACATCCTGAGTCACTGTATTCTCCAGCTCCTCGGCCAAGGCACAGCACCCACCTGAGATGACCTCTGGCAAAGGCAGGGCACCAAGGCCTCGGGCTCCCACCTAGAGCTGTCTTCCAGGGTTTTCAACAGGATGCTGGGGTGTCCTCGCAAGGTGACCTGCCGTCTAGCATGACATTCATATGCACGGATCAACACTTTGGGTTTCTTCTGTGCACTTGCGTCGGCCTGGGCCTGGGCTCTGTAGGGATCCTGGAATCTAGGAGAGCAGAAACCATTCTGGAGAGTGGCCTCTCCCTGGGCATAAATGGCAGGCGTTGGGAGCGCCTGCTTTATGGTGTAGGGGAAGCCCGCCTTTGCTGGCAGTGTGGAGCATTCAAGTTCAGTCTGTGGTGTGTTGTGATGCAGTGGCGACCTCCCCATCCATGAGAGTCCACGAAGAGCCAAGCAGGTGAACTAGGAAGGCTTTGGGAACAGAGTGGAAGGTGGTTCTAAATAACCTCTATGGTGAATCCCCGTTTGGAATTCCATCCTTCTCCATTGTATTTGAGTATCCTATAGGGAGGCCTAGCAGGCGGTTGGTTAATGGGAAGGGAAAGGAAGGCTTTATTTTTCAGTCTAGAAGGAAGATCATCACAAGCCCAGAAGGATGAGAACAGAAGAATGAGGATTGGTCACGTGTTGGACAGGGTTCTCTAGAGAAACAAAACCAGGACACTGATGATGATAAGGATACAGATATGGATAGATATATACAGCATGAAGGAATATACCGGCTAGTTAATCCACACAGCAGTACAGAGGGCTCAGTTCAGCTCACTTCCGTGGAACAGTTAATATACCAGAAGTCCTTCAACTCATGAGGGCTGCTGGGTCCAAGGTCAAGGAAGCAGACAGCTGAGTCTTCCCTAGGGCAATGCAGGCAGGCAATCTGGCCACAGGCAGCAAACAGCAGGACAACAATCAGCAGCTCAGGAACTTAAGGAAGCAGGCTGGGATGGGATATCGAACTCAAGTAATCCAAGACAACAGGATTCGACAGCCTCAAGCTCAAGCGATGTCTACACCAGCAGCGTGGCAAAGCAACTCGCGAAGGAACTTCAACACAATCCATGGGTTGGCTGTCCTACAGGTAGTGTAGCTCACAAATTGAGGCAGAGAATGTGCTTAAAGCAGCTGCACACTGGTCCGATCACCAGAGAGCAAGAGAGAGAAAGAGGGGTGGGGGGCTGTCTGGGTCACTTATCTCTTTTCCCTCCAATCAAACTATGACCTTTATTAATCCCACGTGTTCCTATTGGCCAGGTTGACACAATACACCTACCTATCACAACAACCCAAATGTCTGGTTCTCAAAGCTGCTTTCTCTGGAAAGCCCACAGTGCAGTGTTCTTTTTTCCCCCCATTTCTCTCACCACAGAATGACACACTGTTTCTTCTCAGGGCTACCTGGAGCCACAGGAAACCCAGGGGAAAAGGGAGAAAAGGGAGACCCTGGTGAGCTGGGCGTGGCCGGAAACCAGGGCCCACCGGGGCAGAAGGGTGAGAAGGGAGACAAAAGGGACGTGTCCAACGACGTGCTGCCGACAGGTAAGGGGCAAGTAGGCCCGGACAGACACCTGACTGGTTTTCAATCCCAGGGGGCCATGGGTCTTCTCTCCTTGTTAGCCTGCTGTTTGGTCATCTGCTGGAAGAAAATGGTGGAGTCCATAGGAAAGTGTGTGTGCTATTTCAATACGGGACAACCAAAGCTGGGCTCCAAGCAGAGCTCACTTAGCTCATTTGGGTTCAAAGTCATGAGCTCCAAGGCTGCCCTGGGTTATGCATTGAACTGCTAACCACAGAGTCGGTGGTTTGAGCCCACCAGCCACTCCACAGGAGAAAGAGGAGGCTGTCTGCTCCTAGAGAGATAGGAAGTCTCAGAATCCCCCAAAAGGCAGTTCTATTCTGTCCTCTAACGTCCTATGAGTCCTGCTTGCTTCAGTGGTAGTTAAGAGTTTTGCTTTGTTTTCCCTTTGGTTTCATCTTGTTTTTGAGAGCTGAAGCCATTCTCGGGCTCTTAGTCTAAGCTTTTGGTATAAAGTCAGGGAGAAAACTGGCTTGCCAATTTTCTTGTTTATGAATACAATATAGGTTAAACAGGGATCGCTGGTGGCATAGTGGTTATGGGTTGGGCTACTAAATGCAAAGTCAGCAGTTCGAAACCACCAGCCACTTTGAAGGAGAAAGACTGGGCTTTCTACTCCTGCAGAGTTACAGTCTTGGAAGCTCACGGGGGCAGCTCTACCCTACCTCACAGGGTGGCTATGTGTCAACATCGACTCGATGGCAGTGAGTCTGGTTTGGGTTTCTACGTTCAAGCGAATATTTGGTGCTTGTGGGGAAGGAAAGGAGCCCTCAAGGCAAAGAGAGTTAGGTGTTGGCTGCTAACCACAAGGTCTGTAGTTCAAACACCAGCCACAGCTGGGGTGAAAGATGAGGCTGTCTGCTCCTATCTTGGAAACCCTAAAAGTTGGAATTGATGCAATGGTTTTACGTGTGTGTGTGTGTGTGTGTGTGTGTGTGTGTGTGTGTGTTTTCACTGGGGAAGCTGAAGCACTCAGCTGCTAATCAAAATATCAGTTCAAACACACCAGCAGCATCGAAGGAGAATTCTAAACCAAATTCACTGCCATCAAGTGCATGCTGCTCAAAGCGAGCCCCCTGTGGGCTTCTGAGACTGCAACTGTTGATGGGAGTAGAAAGCCCCGTCTTTCCCTCTCGGAGCTGCTGGCGGTTTAGAACTGCCAACCATGCAGATCACAGCCCAACACGTAACCTCTACCCCAGTGGTTCTCAAACTTCCTCATGCCGTGACCCTTTAATACAGCTCATGTGATGGTGACCCCCCCAACCAAAAATTTATTTTCGTTGCCACTTCATCACTGTCATTTTGCTACTGTGATGAATCGGGCGACCCCTGTGAAAGGGTCATTTGACCCCCAAAGGGGTTGCCACCCACAGGTTGAGAACCGCTGCTCTACACCACCAGGGCTGTCATAAAAGATTTGCTATATTGGAAACAGTATGGAATTGCTCTACTCAGCCCTCTAGGGTGGAAAGAAGTTCAAATTAATGTCATGGGAGTGGGGTTTTTTGTTGGTTGGTTTTAGGGGGAGAAGGGGCAGCTAGAGCCAATCAGAAGTCATGTGATGGAAGCGAGGATGAGAGGTAACTATAATGGGGGAGGAGAGAAGGAAGAAGACTGTTAAAAGCACAGTACTTAGCAGACAGTTTATGTCATAAAGAAATAACTATCCTATTAATCCCTTCAAGAAGCCTTATTGAATGCAGAGAACACCTTTTATTAGCTAGGGGACTGTGCTAGTAGTGGGGAATATGGAAATGAATAAGATCTGATTATCGGTCCTCTAGACATTAGAATGATAGATATTCTGAATAACAGCCCTGAATAGCTCGCCCACCAATTATCCCTCCCTCTGCTCCACACTCATTGAGCACCTACAATTTGCCAGCCATTGTGTTCAGATGAGAACGATGAGGCGCTGTGCTTCTGTGAAGAGGTGCAGTCTGGGAAGCACCGCGGGGGTCGCTCCGAGTTGGACGTGACCCCACCGCAGTGGGGCTGGTGTTGAGCCCAAAGGAGCGAGGGAACATGAAATCCCGTTTGCTGCGATGTGTTTCGGAAATGAGGCGGTGAGGAGGGGGTGGGGTTACTAGGCAAAAGATCTAAAATGTAGAATGTCTTCTGATAGCATAAGAGTCAGCAGTATCCTTTGAAAGTAAGACCATGGTGTGCTTCAGACACATGGAAATCTGCACACTCACAACGCCACACTCCCCACGAGGCCCCCAAAGGAGGAGTGAGGGTCCATCACCCCCAATTCAAGAGAGCAGCCCAGACCAGAGCATGCCCCCGTGCAGAAAGGGGAGAAGGCCCGGGCCCCTGATCCATGTATCTCGACCTGCCACTGAAGGGGCTGATTTGGTGTTGGTGGAAACGACAGTGTGGCTCTACAGGTCATGGCAGAACTGCCCCTGTGAGTTTCTGAAAGTGTAACTCGTGACCTCGTCTTTCTCCCATGGGGCGGCTGCGGACCTTGCAGTATCAGCTCGGTGTCTCAACTCTGTGTAGACCAGGGGTCCTCCACCTTCCTGATGCCGCCACCCTTTCATATAGTTCCTCATGTGGTGGTGACCCCCCAACCATAACATTATCTTCGTTGCTACTTCATCTCTGTCATTTTGCCACTGTTATGAATCAGGCAACCCCTGTGAAAGGGCCGTTCGACTCCCAAAAGGGTTGAGAACCACTGGTGTAGACCATAGTCCTGGGCGGGCTCGGAATGCTGCTAGTACCGCCTTTTCGCTCAGGGAAACCCAGTCTCTGTTTATGGCTCTGCAATCAACCTCTCTCTTTCTCCATCCAGGTGCCAAAGGCGACCAAGGCCCGCCCGGCCCGCCTGGACCCCAGGGCCCTCCAGGTCCTCCAGGACCACCCGGAAGCAGACGGGCGAAAGGCCAGCGGCAGCCAAACATGTTTAACGGCCAGTGCACAGGTCACTCCCTCCTGACCCGGAGAACTCACCTCTTCCCCCTGTGACCCCAAATTCCCCAAGTTCTGTTACTGCCACTATGGTTTGAGCGCCAGTGAGGGGCACAGCTTCAAGCACTTCGTTCACACTTGGGTCTCAATGTGTGAATTATCATCTCTGAAAGGAAAATGCGCTGGGGGTCCGGCCGCCCTGGATTAGGAGCTAGCTCTGCCACGTGCTGATTGGTGACCGTGGGCCACTAACTGAGCGCCTCTGGATGCCAGTTTCTCCCTGTCAGCTGGGGGGCATCATGATGACCCAAGCCCTTGGACTTGCTTGGCGCTCAGCAGGTGGCTGGGAGGGTGGTGGGAGTGAAAGGTGAATGGAAGCCCAGGGGCTGTCTCCACAACAAGGGGTCTGGAGTGGCACATGTGGTTATGTGCAGGGCTACTAACCAAAAGGTTGGCAGGTCAATCCCACCGAGGGGCAACTTGGCAGACAAGCCTTGCAAACTGCTGCCAAAAGGATATGGAGCAGCTCTACTCTGCCCACACGAGGCCACTGTGGGTCAGAATCGATTTGACATCCACTCTGTCGTGGGCTGCTAGTTGCAAGTTCAGCTGTTCGAACCCACCAACCACTCCAAGAGAGAAAGATGAGGCTGTCTCAGAAACCCAAGTCAGCGGTGCTACCTGGTGCTGCAGGGTCACTGTGAGTCAGACACTTGATGGCAGTGGGTTTCATTTGCGAGCAACAGCATCGTGAGTGGCTATACATGTTGGGTGACACTAGTGCATCTTCCCAATAGGATGGACAGAGGAGCCATTCGCCTTTAGCTCGAGGTACCACCTGATGCCTCGCCTCACTGGCAAACATAGAACAGGCTCCCGGCTGGGTGTTCTTGCTCAGGAATTTCTCTTTTTTGTTCATCATTTTACTGGGGGCTCTTATAGCATTCCATACATCCATTGTGTCAAGCACATTTGTACATAGGTTGCCATCATCATTTTCTAAACATTTACTTTCTGTTTGAGCCCTTGGTAGCAGCTTCTCTTTTTTCCCTCCCTCCCCCACCCATGACCCCTTGATAAATTACAAATTCTTATTGTTTCTAGAGCTTACACTGACCTCTGTCTCCATTCAACCCCATTTCTGTTGTTCATCCCACTGGGGGTAGAGGGATTATGCATTGATCATTGCGATTGGTTCCCCCTTCCTCCCATCTACTCCTATCCCCCCACCTGCCCCCTATCCTCTTGATATTGCTACTCCAATTTCTGTTCCTGAAGGGTTTATCTGACCTGGATTCTGTGTGTCTTGAGCTCTTATCTGTACCTGTGTACATGCTCAGGTCTAGCCGGAACTAAAAGGCAGGGCTGGAGTCATGATAGTCGGGGGTGAGGAAGCCTCAGAGAACCCGAGGAATATTGTCTGTTTCATCAGTGCTATACTGAGTCCTGGTTGACTCATCCCTTCCTTGTGACCCTTCTGTGAGGGGATGTCCTTTTGTCTGCAGATGAGTTTTGGGTCTCTGCTCAGACCCTCCTCATTCTCAACAATATGTGTTTTGGTTTGTTTGTTTTGGGTCTTCTGATGTCTGTTACCTGATTCCACGGACACCTCATGATCACCCAGGCTGGCCTGCTTCTTCCATATGGGCTTATTGCTTCTCTGCTAGATGGCCACTTGTTTAACTTCAAGCCTTTAAGAGCCCAGATGCTGTATCTTTTGATAGCTGGGCACCATCCCCTTTCTCTGCCACATTTGCTCTCTCAGGAATTTCTGATATGTCCCTAAAAAGTCAGAAGTTCTGTTCAGTTCTCTGTTCTTCCCAGAAGAAAGGCAGTTAGGGGTCCTGCGTGTGTTTGGCTCTTGGCCGTGGGCCGACCGGTGCTTTCAAAGATGCCACCCTCCATTCCCCAATAAATGGAGCCTGATGATAATTCTGTGCAGCAGTAGACACAAGGTAGAATCACACCCATCTCGGCAGTCCAGCACCGCCCCCTCCATTAGCATCAGCCCTGTGTTCTGCTGCCCTTAGAGAGAGGGAGCAGGGCCACTCCCTTGTGAAAGGAGGGGTTCTGACCCCAGCTTCTGAGCGAGTCCTAAATGGCCCAAGACTGTCAGCCAGTGACCACCGGTGTCTGCAGAAGCACTCCGCGCTACTTAGCACACCCACTAAGAGGCCGTGTCAGCAGAGGTTGGGGACCCCCAACTAGTAAGAACTGTGTTAACTGAGAGGCCATTATCGTCCATTCTGCCCATTAGAAACGGTCCGCACTTGCTGTGCTTCCTGCAACTGCGCTTGCTGTCTCTCCGGCTTCTTTAACCCCCTCCTCCCCTGCCCCCACAGAGCCTGGAGAGTCCAGCAGGAAGTAGTGAGAGCCTTGTGGGTAGCCCTGATGGTTATGCACTGGGCTGAATGGTCAGCAGGTCAAGACTTCCAGCAGCCCTGCGGTGGGGAACGACTGGGCGTTCTACTCCTGCAAACAGTTACCATCTTGGCAGCCCACAGGGGTGGTCGCTGCGGGTCAGCATGGATTTGATGGCAGGGAGTTTCCTATTGTGGTTTTCATGAGAATAAAAGCCTGAGGCTTTCCATGCCCAGCTCTCGAGTAAAGTCCACAGGCCTAAGAAGCGGGGGGTCTGCAGAAACTCCAGCTGAAACCCAGAGCGAGGAGACCCCAAACTGCCCTGGGTCAGTCTCTTCAGGGAAACAGGGTTCATACGGCTAGCAAGAAGCTGGGAGCTCGTGTACGGTTCTGCCCCCTGCTTTTAGTGCTGGGGGGTGAGAGCGGGGAACAAGAAACCCTTCAGCTGATTCTGGGAGTTTCTGCAGTCACAAAACAGAGACGACCCCCTGTGTCTGATAACCACAAACCAGACCAAACTCGCTACCATCAAGTTAAAGCTGATTCATAGCCGACCTTGTGGGTCCCCAAGACTCTCACTGTTCACGTGAGTAGAAAGCCCACCGAGGAGCTGCTGGTGGTCTCGAACTGCCGACCATGTGGATCCCAGCCCAACATGTACCCACTGCATCGTCAGAGCTTCCCTGGTAATCCCTCGGTGATGGGTACCCCTCAGAATCTGTCTAGGGGAGGGGGCCCGTGCTCAGACATCCAGAGTCCCCCAGTCTGCTCCAGTCCACCCACCCTGCCCGGGCCCATCCTGGTCAACTCATTGCCGCAGACTGCTCCTGGCCCAGCCTCCCCTCCGGGCCCCTCTTCACCCAAAGCCAAGCATGCCCGTTGCAGCGCAGGAAAGGAGGGGCAGCCTCCAACCAACCTCAGATCAGGCAGCCCCCCAAGACCTGTTCAGCCCCTTGAAGGCCTCCAACCAAGGGCCAGGGAAATGGCGGGGAGGAGATTCAAAGTCTCCAACCCCTTCCTCGCAGGCTCCTTCTCCCTGGGAGGCTGCTGTGCTCCCCTGAGCCCCACTCACCAAGCCCTGGCAGTGAGGGCCACTTCAGCTCGGGGCCGCTCCCCACAGCCCCCAGCAGCTTCCCTGGGAGTGACCGTGCAGCCACAAGGCCACCATCTGTCATAGTGGTGGCACCTGCCCAGCGAGGCCGGGAAGGGTGTCCCCAGCCTTCTCTCCCCTGAGACTGTGGAGCGTGCCAATGGGCCGGCCGGCGCATGCATGTTTCCCCATGGGGCTGCACGATCCTGCAAAGCCAGGTCTCAGCAAGCTGCTGGGAACCCACTGGGAACACAGGTCTTGGTGTGGCTTTCAGGCAACCAGGCTACCTGGCGGGCCTAACGGGAGGGACACTAAGGAATGGGCATCTGGAGTGAGGGAAGGGGACCAAAAATGACGAAAGATGCTCTGGAGCCGATTCTGACTCCTGGTGACCCTCCAGGACAGGGTAGAACTGCCCCCTAAGGGTTTCCGAGACGGGACTCTTTCTGAGAGTAGCAAACCTCATCTTTCTCTCTCGGCTCGGGTGGTGGTTTCGAACGGCTGACCTTTGGGATTGCAGCCCAGCAGGTCACCACGATGCCCGCCGCCAGGGCTGCTTTGAGGTGAGGGGGAGGACCAGTTTGTTCCAAGGCGACCTGTCCCTCCCCGTGGCCGCGGCATCTGCTCTGCTCATTGCTGCCGTTACAGGTGAGACGTGTGCTGTGCCAAACGACGACACCTCCGTGGGAAAAGCCGACGAGAAAGCCCATGACCCCCAGTCCCCACCAGCAGGTACCGAACGTGAAGCGCCCCGCTTGAACCCCAGCCCTGAGTTACCTTCAAGGCCCGCCCGCTCCTGCCCCACCCCCACCGCAGCCCCTCCCCCCGGCACGTGACTCTCCGTTCTCTTCGGGCAGAGTCAGTGATCGCGTCCATTGGAAACGCGACGCAAGTGTTTCAAGTGAAGGAGACGTTCGGGACGTGGATGAGGGAATCTGCCAACAAGAGCGACGACCGGATCTGGGTGATCAAACACTTTTCAGGTACTGCCACCTGGCCGGTGGTCCTGCTCTGTGCATTTGTCATCGGCCTCCGACCGGATGCAGGTGTATTCTCTTTCAGGGGGGTCCAAAGTCCCTGCCGATTGCTTTCAGAGATGTGTCCTTTATTTTTCGAAAGCATGGACATACATCTTGGTTGGACACTGTGCGGCCGAGGCCTTGCAGTTGAGCTACCAGGGAGATGGCCGGGACAGGCCCCCACCCCCCACTCTGCCCTCCCCCAGGGCAGATTTTCCAGTTTGGGATGAGGAATCCAGAAGGAAATGCATTGCAGCGAGGCTGCGGGTCTTAGGAATGCTGAAGCCAAAATGTGGAAAAAATACACATCCAGAGCCCCATGCATGACCTACCTCAGGCGGGCCCTCCCTCAGGGAGCGAGCCGGTGGCCCTTCTCAGAGGTGGAGGCCCGGAGATGGAAAGAGAAGGGCCGTTTTGTAGTCGCATTGCACCGGGCATGCCCCTCGTCCCACTACCCCGACGGAATGTGGTCACTGTCAGATAGAGAGGGCAACAGCCCTGCAGGGGGCCACTGACGAGAACTGGACTTTGAGTTGGAAGTCGGACCCTTCACACTGGCTAGGGGCATCTCCCCCTGCCTCATCCTCATCAGGCAGAGAGAGACAGAGAGAGAGACAGAGAGAGAGAGAGCATGTGTATGTGTGTGTGTATAGCTAACAGCCCTTTCCTGGTTTCCCTCCTTAGGCATCCTGGTGAAGGAATTCAAAGACTGGCCCTCACTTTTGAATAACAGTTACAGGTCCATACAACTCCCGCATTATTTCCAAGGCTGTGGACATGCTGTTTACAACAACTCTCTCTACTACCACAAGGCAGGCTATAATACCATCGTGAGGTAAGCCGCTCGGGACCACAGCTGCTCCTCCGAGCCCCACAGACCCGCTGAGCGACTCAGAGGTTGGGGCTGTCTTTCTCAGCCCCCCTGCAGCCCAGCCGCTAGTGCCTGGCGCACACACGGGTCAATCAGGGTTGGTTGGGCGAAGGAGTCCCGAGATCAAGTGAGCAAACCCCATATCCAGGACCTGCCAGGGCTGGCGTGGATTGCTGACGGTGGGCATCAGGGCAAGGTCAGAGCCAGGGACAAGGCAGGCATGGTAAAAGGCGGCATCTTTCTCATCTTTTGAGAAAGGAAGCTGCCAACCCCCGTTGCTCCCCAAGATCGGTTTTGGTCTGAAACTCTTTGGGTCTGTAGAATTCTGTACCACAGCTGGGGCCATGGAAGACTGGGGATTGCAACCCAATCGCCAGACATTTCTCCGTTCGAAGGGATGGTGCCCCCACTGACCCCCACTCCCCCACCCTCGACCTTCGCAAGAAGGGCGGGGTTCACCTTGGTAGACTGTGCCCAGGGCAACAACACAGCTGCCCGGCTCTCCAGAAGAAGAATCGGTTTTGAAGCTATTCATCTTCAGCAAATCAGAAGTCAGTGCTTGCAGGTGGGGGCAGGGGGGCTGGGAGAATCAAGACAGCAGTGAGCTGAGAGTTGGGAGAAAGGACTTCTTCCACCTCTTCCATCTAATCTCTCTACGGCCTTGGACCAGGGCCATCCCCTCCCGGGACCTCCATGCCCTAACTAAACAGTAAGATTGGCCAGCACCTCTGAGCCCCTCCAGCGCTACCCCGCTCTGAAATCAAAACAGCACAGAGTGACCTTGAGGGAGGGATGGGTCCCTTGCCTCTTTCTTCCTCACCCTACCTCTGCCCTCCACGCGGCTCAGCGGTAACTTTCTCCCCGGCATCTGACTGCGTGGGTTAGGATAGGGACAAGTGTCCTAGTGTGATGTGTGATGCCATCAGCTACATTGGGTAGGCCCGGGTGTCAGCAGTGGCTGGCAGCGAGCTCGCCTTTGCCTCTCTTCCCAGCTCCCCCATCCTCTCTCCATCTCCGCCGCCCCACACCTCACTCGGGCAGAATCCCGATCCACCTCCTGTGCTCGTTCAAGAGTAGATGAATGAGCCCCAGCAAGAGAGTCGGCTACCCTGAGAAAGGGTGTCAACTCGTGAAGCTACGTTTGTGTAACACACTGGATAGAAACCAGCATGGAGCTCCTGCTGCATGGCAGCCAGAGGCTGGGAGGGGAGGAGGGGGCAGCCCAGCCTTAGGCCCTGGCCCTGCAGAGAAAGACAATTGTAGTCAACTAGAGCAGGGAGGGGCCAGGGCTAGACAAGGGCCAGATGGTTGTACTGAATTCTGGGCATTCAGAGAAACCCTAAGAGCTGAGAAGGATAGGCAGGTCCCCACACTTACTTAATTTCTGATCAAATGTACTTCAAGGTCTCTTGCTTGGCTTTACGCTGGTTATGCTCAAAGGCATTGCCACAGTCCTGCATTTCACATTTCTTCTGCTGCTCATGGGCTCCCTCTGGCGTCTCATTTTTCCTTAGCCTTTGGAAACCAAACTAGGAACTCACTGCTATTAAATCCATTCCCTCTCAGCGCCCCTACAGGACAGAGTAGAACTGACCTTCTGGGTTTCCAAGACTGGAAATCTTTACGGGAGGGGAAAAAAAACAACCCTCCTATTTCTCCCTCCGAGCAGCTGATGGTTTCGAACTGCCCAACGAGTAATCCACCACCAGGGCTCCTATGTCTTAGTCTAGTGTCCCAGCACTTCTTGAATCCTAATTTGGAGCTTTGTCGTCAGGCAGCCTCCAGAGTCTAAGGAGCATGAGATCTCGTTCCAGCGCTTAAGTGATGCCGCCACTTCCCTGGCAAGAAAACTAACCTCACAGAATACACGTCACTTGGTTAGTGGCATTAGATGGTTACTTGGTTGGATGGAGTACTAGGCTACACATTAGGCTTCTGACCATGAGGTCAGCAGTTCAAACCCACCAGCTGCTCTGCAGGAGAAAGATGAGGCTTTCTATTCCCATAAAGATTTGCAGGCTGTGAAACCCTCAGGGGCAGCTGTACCCTGTTCTCCAGGGTCCCTAGGAATGGAAAGGGGCACCGTGGCAGTGAATCTGGCTTTGGGGGAATCTCGTTAAACACGCAGACTCCCAGGCCCCACCCCAGCTTCACGAAATCAGAATCTGCCCTCTCACAAGAGCTCCAGGTGGTTCCTATGCTTGTTAAAGCTTGAGAAACAACCGCTCTAGCCAAATCCATTTGCCCTGGGTAATGATTCTTGTGCCATTTGAAAAGCTGTTTTCTCTGCATAGTCCCCTTTTAAAGAAATAAAGAGAGGAAAAAGAAGTATATTTAACCCCCGATTGACTTTTCATTAAAGGAGCCCTGGTGGTATAATGGGTTATGGGGGCAGGGGGGCTTCAGACATCAAGGTTGGCAGTTCAAACCCACCAGCCACTCCTCCAGCTTTCTTTTGGTATTATTTCCCTTTGACCTGAAGAGATTGCCTTCGCATTCCGTATAGTGCGGGTCTACTAGGAACCTTTTCTCAGCTTCTATTTCTCTGCAAACTATTTTTATCTCACCTTCTTTTATAAAGAATAGTTTCTAAAAGAATATTCTTTTCTAAGGAATATAGAAATCTGGTCATCAGATTTTTTTTTCCTTGCACAGTTGGAGACGGTGCCCCTCAGCCCCTGGCCTGGCTGCTCCCTCCATGTCCCCGGGGGCTTCTTCTTCTGACCGCTTTTAAGACCTTTCTCGAGCTGGCACATCAGAGTCTCACTGTGTTTATGCCCTTAGTGCCCTGCCAGATACTGAAGGGACCCTTTGCAGCTAAATGGCTCTTCTTCTCCATGCAGCTACCTTTAGTCCAATCCTCCGCCCCACAAATTGTAGCCGCCTCAGGAGTTCCAACTACAGCCTGTGTTTCTTCAGTAGCCCTGAAGTTCTATAGCGGACATCCAGGTTCCGGGGTAATGGTTTACAAACTCTGTCCAGGCAGGGTGACTGGGGCACTCATTGTACGTTGCTCTTTTCTCCTGTGGATCACGGTGGACCAATACTTGCGAGCAGCTCATACATCTGGTCTAAGTTTATTGTTTCTTCCTGGCAGTTTATTATTCATTACTAGCTCATGGCTGAAATCTGAGTAGCTCTATCTTCTGAAGGCGCTGAGGCCCCATCTCTGGGGCAGAGAGAGCGAGGGAGAGGCTTGCTTGAAGTGGCTCGCAGCCCAGGCTAAATTCGCCACGCAGTTGTCTGATTTCTTGCCATTGAGCCTTTTCTCACAATGGCACTAGGTCTCCCCAATCAAGTATGCGTCCTCAGAAACTCAATCCTCTCCTGCCAATGACAGCTGCATCATTTCAGCAAGCCTCCGCCTATGAAAACAGCCAACTGATAGCATTTCAGGCACCTGCAAGACCTCCCAAATAGCAAATGCATTTTTTCCAGAAGAAAAATTCATCTGAAGGAGTCAGACTTGTTTTGTTTGCTTGCTTCCGCAATGCCCTGTTGTCTGTGCCACGCGTTAGGTGGAGGAGTCCAACGAGTTGGTTTTGCCTGTATCAATAGTGCCTCTGATCTACTCTTGACTTTCAGATTCGAATTTGGCAAAGAGGTCGCTGAAACGCTGAAGGTGGAGAACGCTTTGTATTTCGATAGAAAGTACCTCTTTGCAAATTCCAAGACGTACTTCAACCTAGCCGTGGATGAAAAGGGCCTTTGGATCATCTATGCTTCCAGCGTGGACGGCGCGAGCATCCTGGTAGCTCAGCTGGACGCAAGGACATTCTCTGTGGTGCAACACATCAACACCACATACCCCAAGTCCAAAGCCGGCAATGCCTTCGTTGCCCGAGGGATCCTCTACGTCACCGACACTAAAGACCTGAGCGTAACCTTTGCCTTTGATTTGCTGGGCGGAAAGCAGATCAATGCAAACTTTGCTTTCAGGACATCCCAGTCTGTTCTTGCCATGCTGTCGTACAATATGAGAGACCAGCGCTTATATTCCTGGGAAGATGGGCACTTAATGCTCTATCCTGTGCAGTTTCTGTCAGCTACCCTCAACCAGTGAGGTGACGCTGTTCTCCTGCATGCATTTCAGGTGTTCTCTGGGACCCTGTCTAAATGTGTCTTTAAGATGAGCCTGATCCTTAGACAATAATCTTACCGCGTGAGTGTGTCCATATGGCCCCTTGAAATTCAGATCCCTTAGTGGGATGAGCAATGGCGTGGGAGTCGAAATGGCGGAGGTCTGCTCGTTCTTCCACAGACCAGCCGGGCAAGTCATTTCTCCCTCTGTGGGCCTCAGTTTCCCAATCGGTAACCCGTAGGAGCTGGCTGAGAGGCCTGCAAAGACTACCTCTAGCTTCAGGAAACCCTGTGATTCTGGGCTTCGGGTACTCTCGCAACTTTCATACACGCAGTTTTATTTGGGTTTTATTGTCTAACCACCTGGCGGTTTACCCTTCAGTTGATAAAGATGTGGCGTCCCTTTGATGCCAAGAGTGACTTCAACGAACGCCGCAGGAAAGGCTTCCGTTGGTCCCTTAGGAAGCTGCAGGGACCCTTTAGGGTTGCTAAGATACTCTTCATCCATAATCTAGTATTCTTCTCCGCACATGCACCACAGCATCTGGTTGGCCATTGGCCTCAGCTCCTGATCACAGCTCCTAGATTAGTAAAACCTGGGCACCACTGTCTGGTCTGGGTTCTTAATGACACAGAATCGAGGCCTCCCAGGCCCCCTGTTTCTGACCCTGCTGATCTGCGGCTGTGGATCACGAGCAGTGAATGGCCCTCGTCACACTGGAGGTTTCTAGCACGGCCATGGGTCCGAGTGCTAAGCAGCGTGTGCATTAACCTGGCTGGAGACACAGGATGCACTTTGCATCTTTAAGAGCAGCACCAGTGGTGGCTGCTATCCGTCGACAGTGGGAGCCTGCCAACTGCGGACCCTCGGCCAAAGCCAGCCCGCTTCCTACTTTTAATAAAGACAGTTTTGTATTGGCTTTTTTGTGTGTGTGTGTGGGAGGGGGGACACGGTTATGTGGGTGTGTACTTTAGTCTATGATGACATTTGCACAAGGACAGGGTTGAGTAGTTGTAACAGAGATTATATGGTCCACACACCCCAACATTAAAAAAAAAATCCTAAACTAATTATTTTCTGGCTCTATTCAGAACACGTTTTTCCAACCCTTGATCTAGAGATAAGAGGAACCCGATTCTTCAAGGGGCTTGTATATCAGAGCCTATTTATTGGTTTTTCTTCTCCCCACCCCCCAGATGAAAACATATCATCTTCTATGGTTTCCATTTTTGGTAGCGGGAAAGGATGAGAACAGTGGCCCTCGACAAAAGCAGTAAATGAGCTAGCCTTTCCCTGACATCATCTGAAAGGATGTAATGGCCTTTTGATGCCAAAAAGGACTTCAATTTAACTTGTTCTTTACATGCCCTGGGACACATTTACCTCCTACCAGCTCAGCTTCTGGATTTCCTGGCGCTGAAATTCAGACAGGACCCCCAGGAGCAGAGAGGGCCGGGATTACTGGGTACCTGCTGTCAGGAAGGATGTGGAGGGGGAAACTTACAGACTTTTCAGCCAATTTGCTCTCACTGGATGCACGCGTGCTGCGGAAGAGCTTCCAGAGACTTTGCCACTGGGCCCAGAGCTAGTATCCGCCAGTCTTGGCTTTAGGTCTGCTTAACAGAGACCTGTTGAAACTTAGGGGATGTACAGATTGAAATATTTAAATCGCCCTACCCGCACTCTGAAAAGTCCCAGGCAGGTGTTAACAAGAAAAGCTAGTCAAGTGACATGTCTTGATGCGCTCTCAAAATCATGGACATTTGATTGCCTCTCCAACTTTTTAATTGGATTAGTTGTGTCATGTTATCATAGCTTTTGAAATATATACTCTTTCCAGAGCCGTGGAATGTAATAAACTAAGGGCTCCACACTCCAAATCCATGTGTCTAATGAATGTTCCGGTTCTTTTAAAGTAATGCAATAGATGTGTTGCTGTTTTAGGACTCAGGAGACCTGGGTTTATACTTAATTTCACAGTCATCATAATAGTAGCAGTAGTACAATAAATACAATACTAAGTGTATATATTCAATAACCAAAAAGGTTATTGAATTAGCATATATTTCTTTTAGAGCAGCGGTTCTCAACCTGTGGGTCACGACCCCTTTGGGAGTCTAATGACCCTTTCACAGGGGTCGCCCAATTCATAACAGTAGCACAATTACCGTTATGAAGTAGCAACGAAAATAATGTTATGGTTGGGGTCACTACAACATGAGGGACTGTGTTAAAAGGTCGTGGCAATAGGAAGGTTGAGACCCAATGTTTTGAAGGACTATTATTTCTCTTCTTTTTTTTTAACTACTGTAGAGCAACGTGATGACCGTGACTGGGGTCCTCGGTAATGTAAGCAGTTGACTACTAGCTGAAAGACTGGCCGTGTGAGCCCCAGAGGAAGGCTGGAAAGCACGTCCGGGGACCTGCCTCTGAAAGTTCAAAACCCAAAACCCAAACTCACTGCATTGATTCTATTCAGACTCAGCATGTCCCTAGAGGACAGGGGAGACCTGCCCCTGTGAGTTTCTAAGACGGCAACGCTTTACAGGAGTAGAAAGCCCCATCTTTCTCCCAATGAGCGGCTGGTGGTTTCAAACCGCTGACCTTGCAGCTAACAGCCCAACGTGTAAGTACTATGCCACCATGCAGTCTGGGAAACCCTGTGTTGCATGGTCTACTGCACATACACAGGGTGACCAGGAGTTCATGGCATGGCTTGATGGCAGCTAGTAGCATCAGAGGACAACTGAGTCAGATCAATGCTTAACAGCAATGGGCACGCTCATAATCCTGTTGAAAGATTTTGTATTTAGAGTGAGAAATATATTAAAATCGTATTTATTGTTTTCCCCCCTGAAAAACAGGACTTGATTTTTAAAAGAAAAAAAAAAGTGCCTTGGGCCCACTGCTAAAATAAAATATAATCTAATGCTTTCAAACCAAGATATCATTTTTATCGGTTTACACTCTCACTTAGAAATCAAAGTTGTTTTGCAGGGCTTTCCAAACAGCTGCACTTCTGATTAGGTCATAATCAAACCAGATAGTTCTAAGCCTTCCTTAATCTAAAGCAGATAGCGTCTCACCAGCAAATAAATAAAACTATCCCTCCCACCCTCGAACTAGCCCAGATGGGATTTCAAAGCATTTTCTTGCAACTGATAAAGTGCCCTGTGAAAGCGGTGACGATAGAGTCTCGCTTTATCACTAAGCGCAGGTGTTATGACAGGGGGGATGCTCTGTGGTGAAGGAGTTTAAATAAGGAGTTCTGACCTTAGGCACCTCCCCCCGCCCCCGGTCTTCTTACTGTCAGGAGCCCAAGGTAAAACGTCACATGAGGGACTAGGATTCTCCTATCGCCAGGTGTCGTTTTATCAGGCCAGAGTACATTTTGGCTCTGGCTACCTGAGAGCGTGTTGGTCTTCATCCAGACGCCGTAACCTCATGTGTCAAAACATAACATTAGAAGGCACACGTGTCTCATCTGTCAACATTACAGCCTCCGAACCACAAAATGAATTGTGGTGACAATCTCTTCTTTGGTTGTATTGGATTTAGCTTTACTCCCGTCACATAAAATAATCATTTGCTGAGCACCATCACAGGTAGAAACAAGTGTGTTGTCATTTTTCACCTTTTGTTAATTGACACGCACTGTTCAAAAGGACCAAAAGAGAGCACCTTGAAACACTGCTGTCAGAAAGTGACCTTGGTGGCCTCTCTGTGGACGCTTTCACAGTTGGTTGGCTGGGTCTTTCTGAAAACTGAGAAACCACAGGGAACGGGCTCCGTCTTCTCCACCAGAGGACACCAAAAACATTCAGCAAGTGGCTAGCACTGGGCACACGCACAATTGCATGCCGAAAGTAGCTGCTCACTTATCAGCACTGGCAAGTCACCTGAAGGGAGCATGAGGTTTTGGGCTGAACCCGAACAAATGTTTAATATTGGATTAGGTTGGACAGGACATGTGTGCATGTGTATTTACCTTTGATGCAATTATATCCATGAATTATTTTTTAATCAGTTGACCAAAAATAAAATTAGATCCGTGTGAATCTGGGCAGATCTTAATCCCTCGGTGTTTCTGTTTCACTGTCCATAACAGTACACTGGATCAACACCTCAAGCTTCTCAACCAAGTCCTCACTGTTACTTGATAGTTCATCCCCGTAGGGAACCAGATTAACTCGGTTGTTCGTGGGACCCTCTGTGGGGCATAGTGACAACAGTTTCGATCCACTGGTCTAACCTGTCAGCTAGGTAACACTGTCAGCAAACCAAACGCCAACCTCACTGCCATGGAGTCGATGCTGACTCATAGCGGCCCTATAGGACAGGGTAGAACTGGCCCCTGTGAGTTTCTGACATGGTTAACACTTTCACGGGGGTTAGAACACTACCCCCCAAATAACCCTTTACTTTACACAAAGAATGTACAGTAAGATTGCAACACCCCTCCAAAAATAAACACAACAGTAAAAACAAAAGGATGCTTCAGAACATGCTGCCTTGACTTACACAGCTGTTTCATGACCTCCCCTAAAAGAGTCTCTGTTACCGGGCAGCCCAAGAATGCCCTGCTGATGAGTTCTGTGGTTAAAATATTACGAAGCAAAAAGAGGGAAAAGTCTGAAGAGAAAATAGCAGCCTTGCCCTTTAATTGGGCAATCAAGCCGTGCATGTGATTTTAATATATCTAATCCTATAGCCATTCACTCAAAGACGGAAAACAAGGATGAAATTAATCTCCCCGTCTCCACACTTGTCTCTCAAAGCAATGAGCGACGACAGTCAGCCTGCAAGAGTGAGTGGGAGTGGTGCGGCTACTTCTAAATTCTGATTTGTGGGTAACAATCTGGTGTTGTCAGCATCCCAAACCCATTTGCCAAGCGGCCACATACACAAATCATAGCACATCATAAAAGGCGGGAGTCTTCACAGTCACGATGTTATTATCGCTTATCAGATTGTACAATGATGAGATGGCACCTGAGCCAGCCTGCTCACTTCAAAGTCGAGCACGGTGAGGCCAGAGACAAGAAGCGAACTCACCCCGGGGCCACAGATGGGAAACCACTGTCATCGAGAGGAGACAGTGTGCTTCCAGGCTGTTTCTCAAGTCACTCCGTCATTTCCAAAGACAGGATCTGATTCTTGCCATGGGAAAGGGACCAGCGCTAGCTCTGAACATTAAAAACCAAAACAGTCCTGTTGTAAAAGCTCCATCTAGAGGAGAACACAGAATCTAGCCTCGTCAGGGAGAACACGCCCCAACAAAGACGTTCTCGACGTTGCCTTAGTGATCCCAACTGGGGTGGTAGATCGACCTCCAAGAGTCCAACACCCCCCCACCCCACCCCCCACCCCCGCCCTAAGTTTGAGAGCCGTCACAGTCGATACGGGTGCATGCTCCCTATGTGGCAAGGGCTTTCCCAGACAACTTACCTGTGTGGTTTCACTTCGTCGTGGAAGCTCAGGTGAGAGCATCTTTAATGTCATCTCTTCTCTGTACCTGGGAGCTTCTCTCTACAGAGATGGCGGGCATTATGTGCACTACGCAGGTACCTCTTCAAGATCTTCTGGCCCTGTTTTCTAGGAATGCTATCAGAAGGGGACAATTTTCCACCATCAGCTCCTTGAAGGACTGCCTCAGGTGAATCGAGCCACTTCACCTCAGAGTTCCCTCAATGCAGGGGTAGGAAAGCCTGAGTTAAAGTTTATTGTGCCAAGCTGGCCAATAAACACGTGGGGTTAATTGAAGGGTGGAGGGATAAATGGCTTGGTGAGCCTCGCCTTTCGAGTTCTCAGGTCTCTTGCTTTGTGATGGTCGGATCAGGGTGCAGCTGCCTTAGCAGTCAGTTCTCTGCTTCAGCTGGCAAGGCTCACTTCCTGCAAGATATCCCTGAGAAGCCACAT